TTACTACAAGACCGGCATAAATCAAAAAACGTTGTTTTGAGTAAAACAGCATTAAATGTTTTACGACATTTTACTATTTTTTAAATAACTTTCAAACAGATCGCCAGATTTGACAAATACAACTTGATATATAAAGTAAGTGTTAATATGTTTCTTATCTGCACATAAACAACATTTTTACTTAAGTAAAAATTGAGACTACTCCAAACACGCGTGTACTCCTCTAAGGACTATGACTGGTCCAAAACTAATCCAAATATATCGAAAAAAAACATACTCTATTTAGCATTGTGATGTCCTAGGAGTAATCCAGCGGACTAATCCAAAACTAGTCCCTTGCTGAAATTATGGGAGTACATGACCCGCAACATGGTCCTATGTAATGCAGGCTATGAACCATGTTGTTTTCAAAAATAATAAACATGATCCATTACTAAACGGGCAGGGTTATCCAATATACTTGCAAACTTTAGCTTTGACGTTTACAACAAAAAATCACTCATACATTTAAAATAATAGATATTTTTGAAATTCACACATATTTCCTAGAATTCAGTTCAAAAAACCGAAATTTTATATTATGTCAGTCTTGTAGTAAATGAGCGAGCTATGTATATGTTTTCCAAATTTTTTCATTAACTATTTAAGTTAATTTGTCCGTCCGTATATCCGTTAGTTTGGTTTGAACTCGATGATATTTTCGCCACTGAAGTTTAAGATCTATCAATACAATAATCCATTTCACAGTTTCTAATATTTTGTGTATATAAGATAAGGCCGCCAATAATTTGTTTAAACATTTGTTTTCACCGGTTTTTATCGAATTTATTATAATTTGTAAAACATTTGCTTTAATTTGATGCCAAAAATAATTACAATTAAATTTTTGAACTATTATGGTCAAGTACAATTAGGAAATAAATTTTTTAGCACAATAAATTTTAGAAATTGTTTCGTGTAAAGATCTTTTTATAAATACTTATATATCCACGTACATATGTATGTATGTATGTTCGTTCTCATACCCATGCAATATGTACAAATGTTATACATAATTGTAAATATGTATTTGTGTTTATTTAATGGTTCAAATTTGGCCGAAATACCAAAAAGATGAATAAATTGAATTTAACCACGAAAATAAATGCAAAAACTTAAAGAGTTGCCAGATACAAATTACACAAACACACTCATACACACATTCATACAATTAACTATTTAAAAACAGATACGCATTCTTAATTTAAATTAAAAGAAAAATATAAACAAAAAAATCTATATAAAAATTTCAAATAATTTTATTTGGCAAAAGCATACAAAAGAAGAAAAAATTAAAAAAAAACTGGCAGGGTCATACAAAATTTTATTCAAATTTATATTGAAAGCTAAAAAATTTCACTAATAAACACAAACATGGCGGAACTAAACGAACGACCGACAGACAAACATACAGACAACGACTCATAGCATAAAATCCATGAACGAACAAATTTTCAAAATTTTAAAATTCTTATTGTTTTTATACATATTGAAACGAAAAAAAAATTGAGATAAAAACAAAAATATATTTCAAATTGATATTCAACACTATACGTGATAAACTGAAATCATACACAAAAACAAAAAATTATATTATTATTTTAAAGAAATTTAAAAAAGTAAGACAAAAAAATTATATATAAAAATAGATTAATACAAGGCAACAACATGGGGCAACAATAACAAAAATTCAGAAAACCAAACTAAATCAAAACGAAAGAATACTACTCATACACAAGGTGGAGGTGGAATGATGTTGCCCGAAAAATATGTATCTATAGCTATGATTATGTGTACGAGCTGTAGAAGATGTACGATACGAAGAGGCTTTACGATCAATTCTAAATAATAGAATTTGCGTTGCTTATTTCGCTCTATAAACAACAGGCGGTTGTATAGTTCGTGTTTTTGTTGTTATTTTGGTTCGGAATTGTTGCCACTATTAGCTTGACTTCTTAGAATAGAATGAACGAAGAAAATATCAACATTTTCTCTATTCACCGATGTTTGGGGACCATTGTCAGATATTGCAAGAAATGCATTCTTTTAATAGTTAATAGTCTAATTTCACAGGGAAGACTTTATTGATATGAGTTAATATCGTACTTTTTAAATAGTATACAAAACCTTTTCAGAAAAATATCGAAATTATAAAAGGTCCAACGATTTTTGCTAAATTTTCACAACCAGCTAGCAGTGGAAAGTAGTACCAATAGGCGTCCTTATAAAAACAATATTAACTTCAAGGGTGTTATTGGAGGTAGGGTAAATTTTGGACCGATACTCATGAATGTTAAGTATTTTTTTTAGAACTTCCTTATATGGGCTAGGGTCAAATCTGAATGTAATTTCAGCCACTATTTAAGATAAGATTCCTAGGTACTTAAAAGTAACACTTGTTAAATTTTATAATGATCAGCGTATTTATGACTGTTTAAACAATATTCTGCGAGAACATTTGTATGGGGGTTACGTGAAATTATGGACCGATTTAACGACTTTTACTAACATTCAATTCTGTTCCTCTTAGCTCTTTTTTGTAGACGATATCGTGCCAACAACAGACGGACGGACTTGTTAGATAATTTTAGTGTCTTACAAGGACCCAGAATATATAAGGGCCTATAAGCAATATTTCTATGTGTTATGGAATTACACAATCGATATAAAGTATGGTTTTTGATGGTGGTCAATTCTGTTCCTCTTAGCTCTTTTTTGTAGGCGATATCGTGCCAACAACAGACGGACGGACTTGTTAGATAATTTTAGTGTCTTACAAGGACCCAGAATATATAAGGGCCTATAAGCAATATTTCTATGTGTTATGGAATTACAAAATCGATATACTGCATGCAATTTACTAGCGCATATTTTTTTTCTTGGACCAGCACTCAGGGGATGTCCCCTACTCATGCAGTGCATTGTGCTGGAACTAGGAAAATAGGTTGTGGGAGGGAGGATAGAGGGAGTAGTGTTTGTGGACATTTGATTTAAACCTTTTCACATCGAAAGTGTCGGGGAATACTTCTGCAGGAAGTTTGTTCCACATACGAACAGTGCGGCTGAAGAATGAATTTTCCCCGTAATGTGTTGTGCGGCCCAATCGACCACAAATGGGTATGTTCTTGAAGACAGTTGTGTGCTGCGTAAAAATATACGGGTATGGGGAGCGAGTTCCCTAATTTCAGAGGAACACATTCCATTATAGTATCGATAGAACACACCAATAGAGTTAGATACCCTACTGCCACCGATAAGTACCTTCGGGCTATCTTGTATGCGGTCGAGTAGCTCCAAAATAGACTTCGAAGCTCCGGCCCATACATGGGTGTTGTATTCCATTTTCGGTCGGATATAAGTGGTGTAAATAGTAAGAAGATCAGATGGAGTAAAGTATGTCTTACACCGTTTCAAAAAACCAAAAATGCTTCTTTCAACAGTTGGAAAATGTGTCCATCGGACATCGCACTGTATTTTCATGCTCAGAACATCAAGAGATTCTGATTCCTTAATATTAACACCACCCATGAATATATATGAACCAACATTATCTGCCATACGTTTATGTGTTAACCCTTTCACGCACAAAACTAAACCGCTGAAATTTTCATGGATATGACTTCACTAGACACTTTATTTTGACGTATATCGATCATTTTTGATGAAAAATGAAAAAAATGTTTTCGAAGGATATCGCAGGATATTATCCTTTTGCATAAAATGATATCAAATTCTAAAAAATAACCTAATTTTCTTTGGCAATAGCCATTTACTGTAGCTCTGAACTCAAAATTACTCAAATTTTGGACACTGGTGTCCCGTATACGTGAAAGAGTTAAAGAACAACATTGAGTCTTGAGGGTGTTAAAATCGACTGTTAACACGACCCCATTCACAGATTTTTATCAAGTCGTGATTTAGCGATTCATTCATATTGCGCCTCATTGTCCCAATCTCTAGAGGTCTTGGCCTATAATTGAATGAATAGGAATGGCAGATACTACTGTCATCGGCGAAAGAGTAGATAGAGTTGGAAGTTTGACATAGAAGGTCATTTATGAAGATAAGAAATAGGGTAGGAGAAAGGACGGAGCTTTGCGCCAAAATGGTGAATAGAATGACACCATTTCTCCGAAAGAAAGGCCAGAAGGTCTCCCGTAGAGCGACCTCTACGAAAGCCATACTGGCGGCCGCTAAGTAAATTGTTGGTCTCTACATATTTGACAAGATGGAAACTAACCATACTTTCCATAACTTAGGAAAGTGCAGAACAAATAGCAAGACAATAGCAATTATTAGCCTCTCCCTTTTTAGAAATTGGCGTGACATTAGCAATCTTCCAGCATGTCGGAAATCTCCCGGCATGGTATATGATGCTGAAAAGATTAGCTAATGGACGTGCTATCATAGAAGAGCACTGCTTCAAGACCAGTGCCGGTATGCCATTAGGTCCAGGAGACTTATTTATGCTGAGATCCGCTAGAACCCTTTGAGTTCTCCTAGTTAATTTTGTTTTCTGAAATATTAGGAACATCACAAATCGAGCTTATTTTCTCAATGGAAGTTATTAAAATTAAAAAAATATGCCACTTATGGGATCAGTATTGGATTCTTTGCTTTAAAAAAAATATGCTAAATTTAGTCATGAAATGGAACGGCTCTTTAATTGAGGCGAACTGGCTAAAAGCGGTTATAAGACACGTCATCAATGTTATACACGGATGTGCCTGATCGCATACCAGACACAGAATATATCGGAAACTTTGAAATGCTGATCACAGAAAGAATGTCTTGGTCCGTTGCTACACGGATGGCTCTAAATTGGGAGACAAAGTGGGCCTGGGGTTCTATATTGAAGACCCAGAAACAGAAATATACCACCGTGATAAGAGCAAGACAAGAAATCTTCTCAAAATGAGGTTAGTATAAAAAGGAGCGCACAACAGGCCCGATAGTGGCCTAGGTGTATTTCTTCGGATTTGATGTAGTATACATCCCCCTATCAAATTAACCTAACTTACTTAAATTAATATTCTTTTAAAACTCTGACAACTACTGGGTATTTTCGGATATTTTTTTTTTTTTTTGGTTTTTCTTAAACAATTTTGAAAGTAATTTTCATAGATCTAAACAAGAAAACATTTTTCAATATTTGAGTGTATTTGTTTCTATGATGAGGACGTAACTAACACCAATACTATAATTTCGTCATTTCCATTTACTATATAAGAAAATAGAAAATGTGCACGTACCGAACGCAATACATTGAAATATTATGCAAGTGTATAAGTAACTAATTATACATATATACACACACAAATACGAATTTCTGTGTTTGGATATCCACCTTAGGAATTACCTTTACAAATTGTTAACGACGGAAAGTGTTCAGTCGAGACCGAGCTCATCCGCGAGTTAGTTGTATTTTCTCATCCAACAGTCAAAATGGTGAGTGAAATAAACGCTCCGATAAAAAAAAATATAATTTTAAAAGAAAATTTTTAAGTGATTCAATTTATTGAAACTTGAATAAATTTTTTTAAAATATTTAAAAAAAACTAAATTTTTAATGTTTTTCGTTTTCTATTTTTCTATTTTCTAAAAAATAGGCCGATGTACCAAAACGTGAAGTTGAAAGTAAGTTGAATTTTGAATGCAGTCGATGTAAATAAAGGATTACGTTAAAAAAAAAAAAAACTGTGACTATCTAACCTAACTGTCAAGCTTAAAATGGAGATATTTTAAAAAAAATCTAACCTCAAAGTTATAAAATTAAAAGAAAAAAATAAGATTACTTTAATAAGTGAAGAAACAAGTGAATAGTTTGGAAATTTTAATACAAAATTAAAAAAGTATGAAGTATCAAAGATATGGAATTATATAATAAACTAAACTTTTAGTTTAAATAAAAAAGTGATTTAAAGCAAACAAACCTAATGAATTATAAAAAGTAATCCTAAATGAAAACATAATTTTCTATAAGTGTTTATAACCTTAAAAAACTATATTTTTTAAATATTTTAAATTAGAAAAACAAAATGCTTTAAAATATTTATAGTTGTTTGCTATAAAATGAGCTATTTTTAAAACTGTTCGCAACACAAAAGTATTGAAAATAATCTCAATACGAAATTTTCATTCATATTTACGGAATACACAATATACAACGAAAAGAGCGTGAGAGATACATTTTAAATTGAAAATTCGTTCGATGAAATAAAAAATAATATAATAACAAAATGTGTACAAAAACAACAAACCAATGCCAAAGAGTAATAAATGCAAATATATAGAACAATAACTATATATACTCTCATTATAACGCAAAAACGATCTATGGACTTCGTTAGTATTTCGTAAATTTGTATATATCTAAGAGCCTACGATATACGTTTGAACAAACGCATGTCTAATTTTGGCAAAATATATACGATATTTTCTTGTATTTTGTTGTTGGTTGCTTAATACCTACTTTTTTATAGAGATTTTCAACGCGATATTTATTTATATATACACACACATAAGTGGGTATATAGAGACAAACAAGCATATGTAGTGGTAGAGTGAGTGTTCAGATTTTGGGAATATTTATTTTTGGGTGTCAGATTTCGTGAATGTATTTGTTGTTATGTCATAATATAAAGACGCCCAGTTTCCTTTCGAAATTGGGGCTGTACATAAATTTATGTACATATATATTTTTTTGTTTAAATGCATAAACAAATAATTTATTTTTATAAATTTTGAATTGAAATAATTTGTTTGTTATATTATGAAACAATTTTAAATTTTTTTTTTTGCGGAAAGTTAATAATATTAAATAATTAAAATACTTGTTCACTTACCTACATTTATATTGATGTCAGCTATTTGATGTATTCAATTATATTTATAGACCTTTTAAGTGATCTGTCATTTAATATATAGCGTTGACCTTTATTAAGAATATCTGAAAAAAATCAAAGAAACGACTTTATTTATGTAGGTCAAGAATTTTTTTCTAAAAATATCTGAAATTTTTAAATAAGAAATTTGTTTTTATCTATTATTAAACTAACATTTTTATTAAACATATTTCTCAGAATTGCTATTGAAAGATTTTAAAAAATGTTAGATTCCAACTTCAATATAAGAACAGTTTTTTTAATTTTTAACAAAATATTAAATTTATAATATATTATATTATTATTTATTCTTACAATTTTGAAATTTAAAAATATTTTCAGAATATTAACTTTTTGAAACAAAAATTCTGAAATTTCTTCAAAGGTTTTGAAATTGTAATCGAAATTATTTACTTATCGGAAAAATCCAAGAATTTCGTATATGTTTAGTTTTCCAACTTGATAATACTTTAAAGGTATAAAATAAACCAAAATATGTAAAACACACTTTGAGGTTAGCAACAGACTTATTTAATTACGACAACTATGTTTTATGATCGTGAATACTAAATTGTAATGTTAACTACATTCTGTTGCTGCAATAGAAAGCTAATCATGCGTCGGTTACAACTAAAACTATTTTCTTTTGACACTTTGGTTGCAGCAACAGCAATTTTGTTAACCAAGGCAAGATTCGATTTAAGTAACTGTATATTTTATGTTTTACTTTAGTTGCTAGAAACGCAAATATTGGTTGCAGTAACTGAATCTTTTAGAAAATCTGATAAACTTTGGAAACTTTTTAATTTCTTTAAATAAAGATATTGAATTATTTTCTTTTAATGTTTGAAATAAAACTCATTATCCACAAAGAGTTCAATTTACAATCAAACATTTAAAAATTATTACTTAAAAAAGAAATTTTTAAAAATATGGAAAATCTTTCTCAATTTTCAACAATTTTACGGCAAGAGTTTCCTTACTACCCATTCTAAGCACTTAATTGACAATTTACATACTGGACATACTGCGGACTATATAGAACAACCAATTTCAACAAAAAAAACTAATTACAAACTCTCCACCCTTTACTCTTTTTAACAGATGTCGAATTCGTATTCGAAGTTATGGGCAGCCCTAACGAAGGCATTGATGCCGTCGATCTAGGTGATGCTCTCCGTTCTTTGAACTTGAACCCCACTTTGGCCTTGATTGAAAAGATGGGTGGCACCAAGAAGCGCGGTGAGAAAAAGTTTACCATTGAAGAATTCCTTCCCATCTACTCTCAAGTCAAGAAGGAAAAGGATCAAGGTTGCTACGAAGATTTCATTGAATGTTTGAAATTGTACGACAAGGCCGAAAACGGCACCATGCTCTTGGCTGAATTGCAACACGCCCTCCTTTCCTTGGGTGAAAACTTGGAAGATGAACAAGTTGAAGAACTCTTCGCTGACTGTATGGACCCTGAGGATGATGAAGGTTTCATCCCCTACTCCCGTAAGTTAATTGGGAATAATATTCCCCTAAATAAATAAACTTCTTTTGTCTATGTAGTTTTGAAATCAATGTTAATATTTGTACTTTTCCAATTTATTTGTATTATTTTCATGTCAATTTATTATGTGAATGTGTGTCTATATTTGTGAAAAACACCTGGCACTATCCTGTTATAAATTTATCACAAAAAAAAATCAACGTTTTTGTTAAAAAAAAAAACAAACACTATTCCAAATGAAATGCACTATATGCTCCATGACACAATACTATCCAAAACATACCAAATCAAAAACCAAATGCACCTACACTTGAACTTTATACCCATCACTACGCACCCTTCACTACCTAAATGTTCAATTTGAATGTAAATCAACCAAACACCAGAATTCATCCAAAGATTGATGAGCGACCCCGTCGTCTTCGACTAAACGGTAAGTTTTAAAATTCATTAAACATAAATTTAATTTAGCAGTTTAAGGTGAGATTTATGTCAAGTAGTTAATATTAATTTGTAATCAAAATTATATTTGTGTTATATGTCTCCTACTTCGTAAAATTATCAGAATCGGTCCGATCTATAAATCTTTTCACATATACCTTATTTACAAAATTTTGATAATGTCGAACAATTTAAAATTTGTTTTCATAAATAATAGGTTCTTACATGTCATTCATTAACATTTTTCACTTTTTGAAATTTATTCTAATCGATTTTTTTTTCTCCTTTCGTTTTTTAGCATTTCTTGCCAGAATGTGCGATAGACCCGATCAGCTATAAATTTTATTTAACATCTTTAAAAATGACGTAGCTAACAACCATTCTCCATTGATGTTATTTAACTATTTCATCACACACTCTCTCTCGTAACGATTAATTAATAATTTAATTAAATTAATTAAAACCAAAAGAAAAACTAAAAAAAAAACAAAACTGAATAAATTTGCAACAACATCTGCAAATAATATAATAATTTTCATTATTTTTTTTAAAAATAAAACAATTTTAAGAAACAAATATTTTATTATAATTTTAACAAAACTTATATGAAAAAAATCACAAAAAAAGAAGAAAAAAATTTAAAAAACTTATGTTGTTGTTCATTTTTTTAAAATTAAATTAAAATACCATAAATAAAAACTGATATAGAAAAAAAAAACAAACATAAATAGTGCAGGAAATAATCAAAGCTATTAACTGTATTAGAAAGTATTTTAAGAATATTTTTCTTTCAAAACAAAAAAAAAAAAAACTGGAATAGTTCTATTCTCACAGTAATGGGTTAAATTTTAACAGATCGCTCTCAGCTTATTTTTCATCTAAATGATTTCATTTTAAAGTTTAAAAGTTTCTACATAGAGTTGTGATAGATGCCTCGAAAGTTCTTCTTCTCTTATAAAATAAATCATATGTCTAAGTAATCCTACACCTCTATAGTGTGGAATATATTATGTGTTTGACGTTAACGAATCGAACTACGTTTAAACTTAGGCTATATATAAGGTGTTCTCAGAAAATCGCTTGAAAAATTACATATTCTAAGAAATTTTATGACTATCTGTCGGTAATAGATCCTGGTGCCCTTAAGGGCTTTAATAATCTTTCATGAAAAACAGTTTAAATATGATATAAAGATAAAATTCTACATGAAATTCTGGTTAGGACCCAGTACCCATAATAAGCAAGCTACTAAACTCACTTAATTGGTCGTATACAGCGCAGTAATGTCTATTATGCAAAAGGATGAAAACTATTTTTATTTTGTCCAAAGTTATACCAAAAAAAAAAAAAACGATTTTGGCGGCCACAGTTCCAACTTTTCGTATGATTTATATAGTGGAGCACAGACTGAGATATCTTAGTACAAGCATCTTCCATGACCTGTAATATTTCTTGGCGAATTGCCTTCTCACTTAATTGGTCGTATACAGCGCAATAATGTCTATTATGCAAAAGGATGAAAACTATTCTTATTTTGTACAAAGTTATTCCAAAAAAAATACGGGTTTGGCGGCCACAGTTCCAACTTTTCGTATGATTTATATAGTGGGGCAAAGACAGAGCTATCTTAGAGCTGTTACCAGTACTTTTAGCCTGAAACTGTCATTGAACTCATTCAACGGTGCATTGGCCGAATCGACAGAACCCCACAGAAGGAGTGACTGCCGGGACTATTTGTTGGGAATGCGTTGTTGACATCATATGAACAGGATGCAGAGTGTGTCTTAAGTGTTCGGGACTTAGAATGTGTCAGATGAATGTTTACATGAATGTGTCAAATGAAAGGTATTTTCAAGGGTTGAAAGATGATGGATGTACATTAGGGTGTCCACTAAATGCAAAAGTAATGTGGACTAAAAATTTTCTAAAACTTTTTTCCCGTAGTCACATCAAATTTGGAATTTTTTGAGGTCCATTTAAAAAAACTTGGGAGATATTTTTTTCATAAATGAGATCAGGATTTTCAATCGCTGGTAAGGAACTGAGGACCCTTAAAAAAAAATATTTTTCTCATATTCAGTACATTAATACGCATCGATTGAGAGGTATTCGTAAATAAGATTCTTAAAACGGTTGTTTCTCGGGACACTAATGTACATCATTCCAAGGTTTGTGATATAAATAAAGTTCTCAGGTTTTTACGGGATTAAGGGTTATCATTGCCAGATATTCCACAACGGGGCTGTAATTGTCTGAGATTAGAAATTTTGTACTTGAAAAGGCGCCACCCATGTGCAAAATTGCCACAAAGAAGCAGAATTCTCTAACTGTGGTTGGACGCATAGGACGCCAAGGCAGGGCTTCAAAGTACTCTAGGAACTATGCCTTAAGAATGAATCCAATCGAACTTGTTAAAAGAATAGCAAGACCGCCCAAATTAGGGAGAAATCATTTTAAGGCTATCCCAATTGGTCAAATGGTCTCCGAAGTTAAATAGCTGAACTATAACTGCAAGTGCCCCTAAAAATATGTAATAACGCGATAACCAATACCCAGCACTATTACGCGAACGAAATAAACCAAATATGTACATAATTTAAATTATTTGTTCCGTTACATATTCTTCTTAACATTTTGTATACAACAGAGGGCGCAAGTGTAGAAACTTCCCCTCTTATTAGAGGTACTAAAAAGCATTTACGAAAAGCAACTTTTAGCAAGAGAAAAATACAACACAAGCTCACTAAAGCTTTAGCTTTGTCAGAAACAAGGGGAAGAAATCGTTAAGTGTTTTCAACTTTAATTAACCGTACTGTGTGCTGCATATAAAAATCAGTTGACTGCGAGATAACAAACCTTACAGATATTTACGGTATATTTTATAAAACAAAAAAACAAACTGCGTTTTCTTTTTTAAAATTTCTTTTAAATACTTAAAAACCATAAAAAAAGGTGCAAATTAGCAACAAAAAAATCTATAAAAGAAAATAAATACAAAAATCAAATAAAAACAATACGATAACCGGCTAAAAGTGAAATAGAATAATATTGTTTCTTTTTTCTTTAATTTAATTTTCCAGCAGAAAAAAACATATTTAGATTTTTGGGTCTTTTATTGAGTTCATTTTGAAAATATATTTTTTTTTTGTTTTAGAAAAAAAAGCATCCCATAATAGTGTTTTAAATTAATTAAATTTCCTGTGTTATTTCTATTTATTTTTTAGTTTATCAAATATTGTGCAAAATCATTCCATTTAATTTAAACAAAAATTATATAATTTTTTATAAAAAAAAAGGAATAAATAAAACCAAAAAAAAATTAAAGAAAAAATATTACTCTAGATAAAATAGAAAGGAAAATTCTTCACATATACATACACACCAACAGCAGCAAGGAAAGAAAAATTATTTAACATCAACATATTTTTTCAAAGGATTCTGTATACACCGTTAAATTCACATACATACAAACGTTGTTATACATTTAGTGCACTCTCACAGTTGTTTCTCATTATTAGAGAGAGAGAGTGTGAGTAAAAGGAAGAGAGAGAGAGAGAGTGAAAAAATAATAGTTCTTTTGTATAATGGCGGATGTTATGGATAAAAGCTCCGTTATGGAAGCTGCTACTGTGGCAGTAGATCCTGTTCCTGTTAGTGTTCCAGTATTGTCAAATGATGATTTACAACATGTTAAAGAACAAGTACAACAACACCAGCAGCAGCAGCAGCAGCAGCAGCAAGAACAAAAAAATGCTGCAGCATCTACACCACAACAGGATAATTTGCAACAGCAGCAGCAACAACAACAACAGGAAATAACAACCCAACAGATTATAGATACAAAACAACAACAACAAACAACCCCACAGATTCTGGATACAAAACAACAGCAACAACAAAATCCACCACAACAATTAGAACTTAAAGGTATTTAAAGAATTATTGTATTACATACATATTTTGAACTTGAGCCTGCATGGAAACCAATATTGAATATATATTTAAATTTAAAATTTAATTCCTTTAGTGTAAAGGTGTAAGAGTAATTCTGACAAATTTTGTCAGTATAGAACTGTTATTGATCCAAAACTAATCAAGAATGTATGTTCTTTTGAAAATCGTACTAAAGCTTTTATTAATGTGTGTATAACAACAACAGAAATGTTTAAAGAAGTCAAAACCCAGAGACCTAGTTATACTTGGACTGGGTTCGCAGAATCCGTATCAGGGCTCAAATTATGGCATACGATATCAATTGAAATCTCAATAGAATCTATATGGAGATTTCGATCGATATCGTATGTCATAATTTGAGCCCTGATACGGATTCTACGAACCCAGTCCAAGTATAACTAGGTCTCTGGGTTTCGTATGCCGTAATTTGTGCCCTGGCTTCAAGACTTCTCCATCTTATCAGGTTTTAGATATTGAGTCCTTAAGTTGAAAAAACGCTTGCTTTTTTGCAATATTTAAGACACAAAGCCAATTTTTTTTTATGAAATTTGTAATGTCATATGAAAGTCCTATCTGTCGACTTTAAGATAGAGGTTTAACATCTATTATAACGTCTCAAACCTGTGCTCCCATAGAGGGTCGATAGATAATTACCACAAATAATGTTGCATTTAGAAAATCTAAACTCTTGAAAATTAAATTAAATATATGTTACGTCGATCCTAAGAAACTCAACTAGACCACTATCGTGCATGTTGTATGCTCCTTTATCGGAGCCTCTGATTGGAATTTAACCCACGTTCTCTGTACTTTCCTTTTTCATTTCAATATGGATATCAAATCTTCAATAATTCTGTGAGGCATGCTTTCGAGAAGTTTCCTATTTAAAATCAGCAAAATCCGTTTATAAATAACAGAGATATGAGCAAAAATCCGAGGTAATCTCTGAAAATTTCATCAAATGCTTTAAAAAAAAAAACCAACAACAACATTGCTTATTGAAAAAGCGTATGTGTGGTAATATGTAGATTGTATTGTGCTGCGTATTTTGTTGGATCAAAAGTATACGTGTACCGAATTTCGTCGAATTATCTTCAATTTGTTGTTTGATTACAAAGTTTACATGGACAGACAGACGGACGGACGGGCTTAATCGACTCAGAAAATAATTCTAAGCAGATACCCTCCGCGCTAAAGTGGTGTAGGGTAAAAAAATATGAAATTTGACAATGTGAAACTGAATGTTCTTTTCAAAATTTTGCACTTTATCAAAAAACTTTGAAGGATTTTCAAGAATTTCAATTTTCAAGGACATTTTCTTTTGTCATATTAAAACTATTTTCACCCGAAGAATGCTGAGATTTTCCACTCCCAATTGATACCCATTTTGACTTAATAGTCCTAGCTAAATGTAAGAAAATTTTAATTCTTCATTTTAAACTTTAAAGTCCTTTTAATGGAAGAAAAAATCAGATAACGAAAGATTTTTAATATAGCTTAACTATATCAAGTCTGTAGTTTCCAACGTATATGATCTTGCTAACGGTGTAATCATAAGGTTTAACCAGATGTCGGAAATTTTTATCCGATTTAATTTGAAGAGCTTACGAATTAAAAATCTTAAATAAAATATTAATTCTAAAGAAATATAAATTAAAATTTTTAAAAATTACGCATAATAAATATCAAGTGTCAATATATACAATTTCTATAACTTTTATATAATATGCAATTTTAAGGAATAATTTGACATTTAAGAAATACATGAAGTATATAACGTATTTATATAAAAACACAACGATTTCCCTTCCTTCCTTCCTTTCCCTGAAGATAGGAATGTGTCATATGTCTAAGTGTTCATATTCTGGAAATGTTAATCATTTTAACTTCTTATTGTTTTTTTTTTTTGTATCAGAAAAAAATATCAACAACAGACATGTCCTTTTAACGTGTTACTTGTATTGTCTGACTGTCTCAGACATGTTTTATTTAACTTTTCTCAGCTTTTTTCCATTGTTGAAATTGCTGGTAATCGTAAATTTATCTATTGTTTTAAATGTTAAGTTTGAGTTATTTTTACTCCTATACATAAACAGGGTGTAGACAACAAAATCTTTAATATATAACTTTGAAATTTGAATATATGTATAATCAAATATGTATTGCAAAAAATCTGTTATATACTCTATTCATATTGAAAGATTCCCTCCTATACCATTTTTTTGTTAGTTTGCAGATTGTTGTGCACACCCTTTAGCTGTAAATATACATATTTTATTGTTTTATATTGCGTGTTACCAAATGTCATATTAAATTTCTAAAGTTTATTGTCTGTATACTCTTATTTGTATGTACAGTAAATTTTCTAACGTTTCTTCGTGTCATAATTTTATTTTAGCTTTTTTTTTGCTCACATCAAAGGTGTGTCTCCTTTTTGTTTTTGATTATCTAGTTATTTTTACTTTACGAGAATTACAGGACGAATAAAAAGGAGTGTATTAATTTTGTTAGTTTATTTAATGTTAAAGGTGCCATTTTATGTAGAAACTTTCTTTATAGTTGTGGTTTTAGTTGTTGTTATTGTTGTCATTATTTTTTGAAGGTCAGGCACTTTGGTTAATTAATTCATTAAAAATTTTGTTAAATTAAGATTTTTGTCCATTTATAATTGGTCTACTTAACTACTTCCATTTTGTGTTGTATTTTATACCCTACACCACTGCAGTGAGAAATGTATTGTTAGTTTGTGCTGATATCTGTAACATCTAAATGTAATGACCATCATAATATAGTTTATAAATTGACTCAAAATCACTCAAGATCGCATACTTGGCCTTACGAAAATCGGACATGTTCGACTATAATTTCTTTTTTATTGCACTTTTCAATTGGTTTGGTATTGTAGATGGTGATTCATAGATTCTCTCGTGAGTAAATGAGAATAACATGTTTTTTTTGACTTGTTTAAATACTCTAACAAAATTTGCAATCTTTTACTATTTTTAAAACAAATAATTTTTGTTTTTATTTTGTTGATTTTTATCGCACACCTGATGATTGGTAACATTAAGTTGTAAAATATAAAATAGATAAAAATGTGACAAGTACGTATGTATAATTTTATTTTGCAAAATAAATATATTTCTTAATACAACAGAACTAATAGAAATTGGTCTTTGAGGTGAAAGTTCAAATTTTTAAATATTTAGGTTTTAGAAAAGTATAACCGACATATTATAATAGTATACATATTTCAAAGAAGACATCAGATTATAAAATGTTACCCAAAATTAAATCTCAAATAGGTTCAAAAAGTTGAACTCCAAAGGGTAGTTAGAACCACCCACACTTCGCCTCTGCCGAATCTTATATACCCTTCACCATAGTGTGTTAAAGCAAGATTAATTTTATAAAATTCAATTTATTTCATTTTACCCGACACTACCATTACTTTAGCAATAATAAAACATAACAAAAAACAACAACAAATTACTACAAATAAAACAAAATACGCAAAGCATTAAAGCCAACACATCCAAACATACTTTTTTATCAATAAGCATTGTTGTTGTTGCTTTTTTGTCAAAGCATACAAACAATTTTCTTTTTTTGATGAAATATTCAGAGGTTGTCTTGGATATGATATGAGATATTTATGGACGTTATTTATGGACGGTTTTGGCTGATTTTAACCAGGAAACTTCTCGAAAGCATGGCTGACAGAATTATTGAAGGTTTAGATCCCGAAGATATCTGGGGTCTTCAGAAAATTTATTTTAACCGACACAAAGAAGGACAGACATGGCTTAATCGAGTCCGCTATCTATAAAGATCCAGAATATATATACTTTAAAGGGTCGGAAAATTATTTTGTAGAAATTACAAACGGAATGACAAACTTATATATACCTTTCACGAAGGGTATAAATAGACAAACAGAATGAAGACTTATAACATCAAATTGCTTTAAATAAGTAGGCGTAGTAATAATAAGGACACTCCTACTTTTTATATAGAAAATATATGCACGAGAATGAAGAAATTTTAATTATATAAAGTATTTTTATAATGTATTAATATTTAAACCATAAAGGAATATAATTATTTAGATAAACATGCCCACATTTCGCTATATTTTGACTATTTTTAATATTGTAGTATATTTTAAAAAAATTTCAAAGTAGGCGTGGTCAATACGAATATTATAGTTATATTTGTTAAGCTTAATGCTGATTTTAATAAAATTTTGTTTAAAACAGTGATCAAAAGAAAACTCTCAAAATACGTAAAATAAATTTAGAAAATAAAGTGAGCGTTGCCAAGATATTACCGCCCACATTTTTTATAGTGATGCATTATAATTAAATTAATATCTTCAAAATTTAAAAGATGATTGCACTTTGAAATTTAAAATAGAAGTTATTCACTGTTTTACACAAATATTATTAGGTCTAAATGTGTACTAAAAAATTTTAACGTTTCCATAGTACTGGAAGTCTTAAGACGCAGAAATTGACAATCTTTTTATACCGTACACCTCTTTGGTCGATTAAGCCATGTACGTCAGTCCATGTAAACCTTGTAATTAAACTACAGGTCGCAATTTTGAAGATACTTAAATGGAATTTGGTACACGCATTACTTTTGACCCAAGGACGAACCCTATTGATTTTGTTTGGCATCGGTCGTAGCCCCCATATAACCGGACCCCCTAAATTGTGATTTACAGCTCACAATTATGCCAAATATACTAATATCCCTGCAAAAAAAGGAACAACTACGTTTTATACAAGCATAAATGATATTGCAAAATTTGGTAATGAGCGGCCCTTATTTAACGTTAGCACCCTTGCAAAGTCCCCCTCTGAAAATTTCCTTATAAACACGGGTATTTCAATAAAATTCTGCATTATTAACTTTAATGTCAACAAAAATCCCTCCAACAAATTTTGTTAGGATCGGTTCATATTTGA